CATTAATAAATAAATAAAATCTTAAAAAAAATAAGATTGGTAATATTATTAGTAGTTATCATTTTTTTAAGTTTTTAAAGATTTTATTTATTTGTTTGTTTGTTTGTTTATTTATTTATTTATTACAGAGAGAGAGAGAGAGAGAACGAGCTTGAGTACAAGCCAGGTGAGAGGCAGATGGAGGAGACTCCCGCTGGGCAGAGAGCTGGATACTGGACTCTGCGGAACTCCATCCTGGAACCCTGGGAACATGACCTGAGCCAAAGGCAGATGCCTAACTGATTGAGCCACCCAGGGGACCTTAAGTTTTAATTTTTAAAAGTAATCTCTGCACTCAATGGGGGCTTGAACTCATAACCCCGAGATCAAGAGTTGCAGGCTCTTCTGGCTGAGTCAGCCAGGTGCCCCAATAGTTATAATTTCTGAGTGCTTTCCAATTTTTTCTTTTTCTTTTTCTTTTTTTTTTTTTTAAAGGTTTTTTATTTATTTATTTACGATAGTCACAGAGAGAGAGAGAGAGAGAGGCAGAGACACAGGCAGAGGGAGAAGCAGGCTCCATGCACCGGGAGCCCGACGTGGGATTCGATCCCGGGTCTCCAGGATCGCGCCCTGGGCCAAAGGCAGGCGCCAAACCGCTGCGCCACCCAGGGATCCCTCTTTTCTTTTTTTTTTTTTTGCTTTCCAAATATTAACTCATTTGTTCCTTGCATTGACCCTGTGCTGTGAGGTATGATTGCCTGGGACAGAACATATCTCCACCGGGAGCCTGACCCAGAAGGCTGTCCAGAACCGTCTAGCCAACTGAGAACTTTACTTGAATGCCTGGCTTCCTAGCAAGTTTCTGACCTATAGTGGAGTGGCTGTAAGGCTGTGAGGCGTTGCAGGTCTCCCCCTGAAACAAGTCTCTTGTTCCTTGAAATCGGGGTGCTTGTGCACATTCAGATCCTGCCCTAGGTGCTTCCATAAAGCCTGCAGTTTCTTGGCCAGAGGCCAGAAGCCCAGGAGTACAAGATATGGGCAGCCCCTCTGGTGATTTACTGAGGTACCAAAAGACTAGGGCTCTGGCATCTGCAGCCCCAGGGGCCAGATTCCTTCTTCGCAACCTTCCATGCTATGGGAACTGGCAGTGGGATTGGAACCCTGCAAGGCAGGGGTCCCAGATTCTCCTTCAATAAGTACTGGAATGACAGAATTGATGGCTTGTTAGTGCGGCCATATGCAAGCCCCCATCAGGCTTCTGGTTGTGTCATTTGCATATCTGCACAGACTTGTTTAATATGCCAAGGATCTTCTTTTAGGCAGAATTGTCAGTTGTTGATTTTTTTTTAAGGTTCTTTTTGTTCCCCTTCAGTTCTGCTAGCACTACTCTATTGGCTACCCCTCTGATATCCATCTATTCATCCCTTCTTTAAAACTGCTGCCTGGGGCTTAGTAATGAAGAGTAAACTCTTCTCTAGTTAATGCCTATTTGTGGAGCTCCTGCACTAGGGCTATAGGAGGAGGTGGTGGGAAGATCCAAAGGACCTGGATCCTGCCGACAGTGGTCTACAATCCAGTTGGTGTGTCTGGGCAGGGGACTCAGTAATGACATAGCAGTCAAAGCATGGGGAAGAATTCTGGTCTTCCCTTCTGCAAATCACCTAGAAAATGCCAAGAAAACTTCAAGTACCAGTTCTGGGTTGGTTTAATGCAACTGTTCTCAAATTTTTACACTCAAAAATTTTGGAGGATCCTAAAGAGCTTTTGTTTGTATGGATTATATCTATGATATCCTGTATAACCTAGCTTGTATTAGAAACTAAAACTGAGAAGATTTCAAAACTCAAGGCTATGCAAGCACACAATCCATTATTTGTCAGGGCAATATTGTCACAAGCGATGCAACTTCTGAAATATTCTGTACCCTTATGCGAGGAGAATGAAAAAGACAAATAAGATCTTAAACTTTTCATGAAAAGAGTTTCTTTTTTTTTTTTTTTTTATGATAGTCACAGAGAGAGAGAGAGAGAGAGAGAGAGAGAGAGAGAGAGAGGCAGAGACACAGGCAGAGGGAGAAGCAGGCTCCATGCACCAGGAGCCCGACGTGGGATTCTATCCCGGGTCTCCAGGATGGTGCCCTGGGCCAAAGGCAGGCGCCAAACCGCCGCGCCACCCAGGGATCCCTGAAGAGAGTTTCTGATTTTGCAGACTGCCTGGAAAAGTAGGGGACCCACAGGGGTTCCCTGGCCACACTTGGAGGACTGCTGGGGTACAGCGTATAGGTTCTGTAGGCATCAAAGATGTGAAGATTCTAGCGGAGCACCTGGAAGTCTGTAAGCCTTGATCAGTGGCAGGAAGAGTTCTTTTAAAAATCCTTGGTAAAGTAGGAGAGGATGACAGCAAACTTTTCTTTACCCTCTTAAGGTTCTTGTTTTGGGGCCTGCAAATCAAACTGACAAAAGCTTCGTTAACAGGAGAAAAGGCGGACAAATCGCATTTGATGTTATTATTTAATTTTTAAGTGCTTGGAAGCCTTTGTGTAGAAAAAAGTGAAGCCCTCCAAAAATGGATAGATCAAGTGCTTATACACTATTTTAACCAGTGTTGATAAATTGTGGAGAAACAGCGATATAGAGGAAAAGGGGTTTGGGTTTCTGGGGTAGTAAATTGTGGTAAGGGAGCTATGTGGGGGAAGCTCACACAAGATAAGGGCTACATTACACCCATCTCCATGCTGACCTTGTGTCTCCAGTGATAAGCCTTGTTCTCCTGGTGCGGGGAGATGGGAGAGGGAGCATCTCCATGAGAGTTAATACCTTGCTTTTAGGCAGATAGGGGGAAGTCACAGAGCTCTGTCTATGTTTGTGCTTGATTGCCTTCTACTCATAATAATCCTTATGCAAAAGTAGCATATTTTAGGGTGGCATGTTCTAATCTCCTTCAGTAAAAATAATAATAGTAGCAGGCTATACTAGATACTGAGTTAGCAATACTAAGGATTCTCTCCTCTGGAAAGTACTGACAGCTTTAACTTTCAGTAAGCCTGAGCATGTCCACTCCTAGGCTAAGCAGTTAGGGAAGATCCACCTGCTGAGAGTGAGCCCAGTTGAGGGGCTGAGGCAACCTTGTGTGGGACTGCATGAGACGTCAGGCTTCACTGGGCAGCAGCAGAGGAAACCAAAGAGCCAAGGCCAATGAGGCCAAGAGAGGGGGTTGGAAACAGCTGTTCATTCACTCCACTTCCCCCAACCTGGGTTGTAGGACAGGACCCTTGGAGGTGAAAGGGCAAAAAGGCTGCTCTGTTGGCCTGGGGAGAAGAGGGTGCTGGGAAGGCTGCCCTGGAACAAAAGGCAGCACCTCCAGGGCACAGCTGGGAGGGAAAGGGCAGGAGCCCTGGGCTGGCAAGAGTGAACAAGTGATTGGCTGGCAATGAGAAAAGGTTCTTGGAGACCACTGTGTCCTGGGATGCCGGGATACAAGAGCTGACCCCAGTCAGGAGAAAGGATTTCTCTACTTTAGGTGATGAGAGAGCTCATGACTTACATTCTGCCTCTGCCCTTCAGCCTCTGCTCCCTGAATCCCAGCAGCTCTGGCTCTGTGTGGAACCATTGCTCCCCATGCCAGGATTAGCAATGCTTTAGCCAGAGGGGCCAGTGCAGAGCTGGCCCAGCTTCAATGCCATTTCCCTCAAAAAGCTTTTCGGGGATCCCTGGGTGGCTCAGTGGTTTAGTGCCTGCCTTCAGCCCAGGGCGTGATCCTGGGGTCCTGGGATCGAGTCCCACATCAGGCTCCCTGCATGGAGCCTGCTTCTCTCTCTACTTGTGTCTCTGCCTCTGTGTGTGTGTGTGTCTCTCACGAATAAATAAATAAAATCTTAAAAAAAAAAGAAGTTTTTCTGACCCTATCCCCTTTTTTCTCTGAGGTCCCATAAACCTCTATTTAGCACTTAATTCTTCTGGCTTTGTACCACAAAAATGAATCGAGCCTGTCTTTGGGAACTCCTTAAGGGCAGGCGTCTTGTCTTACTAGCATTGGCTACCCTTCCAGAGCTTAGCCTGTTTTCTTGCACAAGGCAGTTTTTTTTGTTTGTTTGTTTTGTTTTTAAGATTTTATTTATTCATGAGAGAGACAGAGAGAGACGGAGACACAGGCAGAGGGAGAAGCAGGCTCCCTGTGGGGAGCACAATGTGGGGCTCGATCCCAGGACCCCAGGGTCATGACCTGAGTTGAAGGCAGATGCTCAACCACTGAGCCACCCAGGGGCCTCACACCATAGGGTTTTCTTTTTGTTTGTTTGTTTGTTTGTTTGTTTGTTTTCACACCATAGGTTTTTAACTGAGAGTCATAGAAATAACTTCTGCATATTATTTCTTTGCATCTTCCTTTGCCTCACAATCTCTTTGGAAACTCCCATATCCTGTCCTGACCCTGAACTGCCACTTTGGCTGGGCTGAGAGCTGACCAAGTGGCTGAGAGCTGACCCCGTGATGGGGGAGGAGACGGGAGCTGCAGAGGATGCTGCAGGGGATACTACAGGGGATGTACCCACTCTTTTCCGGTCTCTCACCGAGGACACTTGTTCATTCTTGTTGCCTTACCCACAGTCCCTTGCTGGCTCTTCGCACTCTGCCCCTAACCATGTCCACTTCAGGGGACATACCACCTAGAGGTGGTAAGGTGAGGAGATGAAGTGGGTCCTTGGACTCCTCTTTTTGGCTGTTTCCTATCCCCAGCTGACCTGTTCTGCATTCATTACACAAATGCCTATTGGGCGCCCACCATGTGCCAGGCACTGCTTTAGGTGCAAGGACCCAGTAATGAATGAATCAGTCAGGCAGACACCCAGCTTTTGGGTGTTCAAGAGCATTCTCCCACATAGGATTAGGACTTCTGATATCAGAGGCTGTTGAAGGCTCTGGACAAGGAAATTGTAAAGTCCGATCTGGCCTTAGATATTTTTGGCCATGAGAATGAAGTTCGCTCACCTCCAATGTCTGATCATGACCATGCTTCCTTCTCAGGTGTATGAACTGAATGGGACCGTCCATAGCCGAGAGTGGTCAGTGAGGACTTATAGAGAAGTGGCTTATATGTTTGCGAAAAAACATCCTGGGTTCATTGGAATCAAACTCATTTATACGGATCACAGGTGAGAGAGAACATAGCTGAAGCTGCGGATTTGGGAGAATGGGGTGCAGGCAGAGCCCCTAGACTGGGAAGGGAGGGGAGGAGAAAGGGAGGCTGGGAGGCTAGGGGGCTGGTGTCAGAGACCTACCCCTGCTGCCAAAGAGCCATGGGCTTGGCAGATATGTTTGTGCACGTGTGCAAACACCTAGCTCTAAAGTCATTTCCAGTTTGAATCTACCCCTGTAGGCTGAAATGAAGAACTTTGGCAATTTTCCAGATAATTCTAGGTTCTGACCCCATGTTGGCCTGGATGACTCAGTTATGGATATGTTTTTGCTTATATGTTCAGATAACTGGCTCATTTCTTTGTTTCAACTTGCCTTTGGGGTTCTGCCTAATGTTAGCCATGTGCTGTGGATGGCTGTGGATGGCTTTGTGCAAGGCCTTGACTGATGACCCAGCCCTGAGGGACAGCTACCTCAGAGTCTGTGTGTGGACGCCCAGCAGGAGCATGGATGTGGGACTTGGTGGTGTGAACAAGGGCCCACTCTTTCCCCAAGCAAGCGCAGAAAGCTTCATCGCTTAACTTCCCTTCTGATTTTACCAAGGCAGGCTCTCTCCTCCTGTCAAAGGATGGCCAGTCTAAGGCCTGTGATACACAGGGCTGGGGATGTGGAGCAATCACATGGGGATCAACACTGAGTCAGGGCTTGGGGAAGGGCAGCTCCTCTATTTGCTCAGCCAACTCTAGAGGCTGGGCTCTTGGAGAGCAGTCAGACACCTCCTGCCCCATCCCTGCTGAGGCCCTCTACTCCTTGTGAGGGCTTGGGGCTTGCTGAGTAGAGGCCTACACCTGTGTGCTAGTCAGCCAGGAGGGGGCTTGCAAGCTGGGCCCCCTGGGTCCCCTCAGAGGCTCCCTGGGGGTCAATAGCAAGAGGATGTGAGGACTGGGCAGCAGGTGGTAAATGCTCCTGTGTTCCCTTAGAGCTCTGAAGGAGAGGGAATGAGCAGGGAGTAGGGGAATCTAAGCCCCACAGAACTGAGGTAACAAGTGAGTCAGCTGCTGTGCAGAGATCTTTGTTCTGTCACAGAGTTGTACCAGGCTTTTCCCTTTGGTGCTTCTGTTGTGCTGCTTGCCTCGTCCCTATTCTGGACTTGAGCAGAGGGAGTGTGGAGAGAAGACAGACATTTTGGTTTTGTGATTTCTGTAGTGCCCAGGGCTTTGCTGATTTAATTGGAGGCAGAGGACTTATAGGTGCCAGGTCCAGCTGACCTGACAGGGACTTGGGTGATCTGTTGCATTTCAGGCTCTGCAGGGCACCCACTTCGGGAAACCGTCCTCTCAGGGATGCAGGGCAACTTTTGAACGAGGCCTCTTTGCTTCATCCAAATGTAGATAAATGAAACTTATCCCATGAATCTCTCTTCCTCATTTTGCTTTTCAGACACTATGGGTTCCTCTGTAGCCAGCCAGAGTCCTGGATAGGGTTCGGTTTGGGTGATGTATTTCTTTCTTTCTTTTTTTTTTAAGAGACAAATATTCGGATTGGTTTATTTATTTATTCATGAGAGATACAGAGAGAGAAGCAGAGACACAGGCAGAGGGAGAAGCAGGCTCCATGTAGGGAGCCTGACGTGGGACTCGATCCCCGGTCTCCAGGATCACACCCCGGGCCAAAGGCGGCGCTAAACCGCTGAGCCACCCGGGCTGCCCATGGGTGATGTGTTTCTCAGATGTAGCCACTGGTAGGGATCCCAGTAGCCCGGGCAGCACAGGGTCATGTGGGCAGTGGGGCGAGGGTGTGGGAAGTGGTTGCTGTGTACCCTGGACCAGCTCAGCCCCAGGCACTAGTGGAGCCACTTGGGGGTGCCCAGCAGTGCCAATGTCAAATCATGCTGTTGCCCCCGCTTCTGTCTCTCGCAGATTTAAAAATGTGTCCTTCATCATGAAATCCGTGCAAACAGCCATGGCGCTTCGAACCATGTTCCCCAGGATGGTGGCAGGGTTTGACCTGGTAATGGACTGTGCATGACGAAGCTGAGAACGGGGCCCAGGAGCTGCTCTTCCTGCAGGCCTTGGCAGCTCCCACCAAACCCTTTGTAGAGGCACAGGCCTGGCCAGAGCTTAGCACTGACCTTCTCTGGGGGCCAGCAGGATGAAGACAGCTCCAAGAAGAAGGGGAGCAGAAAGGGCCAGGAGGCTGAAAGGGGGAGTTCCAGAATAAGGAAGGAATTCGAGGAGCTTGGGCAGTAATGGTGGGCTTAGTCCCATTCCCCTGCCATCCGCCCTCTTTCTACCTACCTACAGGGGGCTCTTTAAACTGTGGCACATGGAGGGGGGCTGCTGCAGGGGGTCTGGAAGCAGAGATGGGGATAGCCCTGGGCAAAACTGTCAAGGATCCCTAGAGTTGTCCCTTGCCCCTCCATCCCATTTGCTTCCTCAGCTACTTCCGAAGCTGCGCATCCATAGGTGGTGCCCTGACCCTCCACCAAATCAAAGCCATAACCAAGCTCTGACAGCCAGGGCACACTTCCCAGGTGATAACCCATCAATCTCATGAAGGAAGCTAAATTAGTTGGAGCTAACTGGCTCAAAGGCCGTCCTGACTCCCTCTTACAGAAACTACTTTTTACCTGAGCCTGTGCTTAAGCTCTTGTTTTCATACCATCCACAGTGCATAAGAGTGGATTTTATTTTCTTCTTTTTTTTTTTTTTTTTAAGATTTTATTTATTTATCTGACACAGAGAGAGAGCACAGGGAGGGGTGAAGGACAGAGGGAGAGAGAGAAGCAGATTCCCTGGTGAGCAGGGAGCCCCATGTAGGACTTGATCCCAGGACCCTGGGATCATGACCTGAGCTGAAGGCAAACATTTAAATGACTGAGCCACCCAGTTGCCCCATAGGAATGGACAAAGGAGGCTGACTAAGCACCTCTAGTATAGAGCTTCCAGATCAGTCCCTAGAAGGACTGTAATGGACAAGTCCTGGAAGGAATTTGGGGTTGGAAGGGGGATAGTAGTTGTTCAAAGGGATCTACTTGCAAGTTCCAACTCATTAAGTCTGCACTCCATTCTACTACATTGAATGTCCGTATTTGGCTTACTATAAAAATGTGTCATTGTCCCCTTCCCCAACAAATTAAAATAGGCATTCTGAAGGAAATACACTTTTTATCCTAAGGTACTCTACTCATGGCACATATCTACAAATCCCGGGGTGTGTGGGGGGTATGTGTCGTTTAATTTGCAAAGCATAATTTTGTTGTAGTTACAGCTGAGGCATGGACCAAGCAGATGGCTCCATATCCCCTCTTCTCTGTCCTGCAGGTGGGGCATGAAGACACTGGCTACTCCTTGTTTGACTACAAGGAGGCTTTGATGATTCCCACCTTGCATGGTGTTAAACTGCCTTACTTTTTCCATGCTGGAGAGACAGGTGAGCCATATGGAGACAAGCAAAACAGAGGAGATGATAGATAGGAGGGGTTCCTCATCATCACTCGAGAGATCTGATAGGATCCTGGGGCAGTATTGATATTGTTGAGAGTCGTTTTATTGTATTTGTCCATTTTGTATGCATTATTTCACTTAATACTGATGGCAAGCCCCTGGAGAAGGAATAACAATATCTGGCACGTTAAATATATTATTACTGGGGATCCCTGGGTGGCTCAGCAGTTTAGTGCCTGCCTTTGGCTCAGGGCGCGATCCTGGAATCCCGGGATCGAGTCCCGCGTGGGGCTCCCAGCATGGAGCCTGCTTCTCCCTCTGCCTGTGTCTCTGCCTCTCTCTCTCTCTATGTCTATCATGAACAAATAAATAAATAAATCTTTAAAATATATATATATATATATATATATATATATATATATATATATATATATATATTATTACTAATTCTCACTCCAGTTCTGCTGGGAAGGTGTTTTTACCTCCATTTTATTTTATTTTATTTTGAAGATATATTTATTTATTTGAGGGAAGATAGAGGAGGGGCCGAGGGAGAGGGAGAATCTCAGACTCCCCATTGAACACTGAGCCAGACACCAGGCTTGATCTCAGGACCCTGAAATCATGACCTGAGCTGAAGTCAAGAGTTGGACTTTTAACCGACTGAGCCACCCAGGTGCCCCCCTCCTCGTTTTATTGCCCAAGTCTCCAAATAGAGTGGTTGGTCCAAGGGTAAGGAGCTAGTTATTAGTGGAGCTTGAGTTTGAGCCCTTTCTGATGTCTATTTTATAATGAGTGAATTGTGCCTAGGAGATTAATTCACCTGTCTTAAGTCATACATGGGTTAGGTGGCAGAAGATGGACTAGGACCAGGCCTGCTCTAGCAACTAGGAAGCTTTGTCCACACTCATCAGTGCTGAAGGGGTGACCCCACCCAGCTCAAGCAGGCCCCACTGCTATTGTTTCTGAAATGCCATTGGCTTAGCCACCCCTTTGTTTCCCAAAGCTCACTTCATAGGCTCGTGGGTCATCTCTCAGACCTTCCCATATCCCAGTCCTTAAAATGTGTAAACCCTAAGCAAAAGGAATCCCAGATCATGGCTGTAATTTCAGGTCAAAATGAAGATGTTGGGTGCTTAGATCAGGAGGAAAGCTTATTGCTGCATCCCACCTGGCGTCCCTGAGTACCTGAGGCACCTGTCATCCTTAGAAGACCAAAGAGAAGGACACCTGGGTGGCTCAGCAGTTGAGCCTTGCATTTGGCTCAGGGCATGATCCTGGAGTCCCGGGATCAAGTCCCACATTGGGTTCCCTGCATGGAGCCTGCTTCTTCCTCTGCCTGTGTCTCTGGCTCTCTGTGTCTCTCATGAATAAATAAATAAAATCTTAAACAAAAAAAAAAAAAAAGAAGAAGAAGAAGAAGACGACCAAGAAGATAAGTGGAGAGCATTGGGGGGCTTGAATTTCACAACCAGGTTGAAATCTTGCCTTATCACACCATCTCTCAGATGAAGGGTCTGTGTACATTAATCTCCTTTTTCCTGACATTTCAACTCAATTTAGATCAAAGCTGTTCTACAGGTTTGAAGAATTGTTTGTGGGGGTTAGGGTAAGGGGGTAGGGGTAGGGGTTACTAACCTTGAAGAGCTTGTGGTCTGGTTGGGAAAATCGTACTTAGCTGTGTGAAATCATCTCAACAGTATGAAACAGCATAATAGGATCTAACCACATTCTAAGATGCATGGCCCTAGGAGAAGATTTTGCCAGGAGCTGAGTATTTAATACCCAAGAGTAATGTTCTTATTTTTTAAAAGGAAGAAATCTTTGAAATTTTTAGATAGGAAACCAGTGAAAATCCACCCTAACCATGAAAAACATGCCCTAACCAACAGTGGGAATTGTTGGGTTTTATTCCTAACAGAAAAGTGAATTTTCATATTTTACCTGTAGATTGATAAGGATGCTTTTGGCTGCCAGGAATGGAATACATTTAATAGGTTTTGCAACAAGGTCATCTCTTATTTATTTTTAAAATTTTATTTATCCATTTGAGAGAGAGAGCATGAGCAGGGATGGGAGGCAGAGGGAGAGGGAGCTCAGCTTCCGCTGAGCAGTAAGTTCAACATGGGACTTCATCCCAGGACTCTGAGATCATAACCTGAGCTGAAGGCAGACACTTAACCAACTATGCCCTAAAGTCATTTATTTTACTTAGTAAGTGACCTCTGCTGTTTTCAGCAAATCCAGGGTTTCACCTTACTTGATTGTCATATAGTCAAATTACATTCAGGCATAACTATTCCAGTGAAGCAAAAGATAAGATATTTCCCCCAGGACATCTCCTTTTATCAGAGAGGAAGCCCAAGAGCTCTCCACCAATAACCTTCCAGGCCAGCATTAAGACTATCCTAAAAGAAAAAAAAAAAAAAAAAAAAAAAAAGACTATCCTAGCTGCAAGGGAAGCTGGGAGAGTCAAGACCTGTTATTTTCATGCTCCAAAGCAAGTCCTGCCTACAAGGGAGATACAGTGGGATGGCTGATGAACTAGGTAGCCAACAGTATCTGCCACCTCTTTGTGCTGGTCACTGATCTTGCAATTGATACTGTTGAAAATATAAGTTGAGGGGCAGCCCCAGTGGCGCAGCGGTTTACACGTTGAGCGCCGCCTGAGGCCGGGGGCCTCATCCTGGAGACCCGGGATCGAGTCCCACATTGGGCTCCCTGCATGGAGCCTGCTTCTCCCTCTGCCTGTGTCTCTGCCTCTCTCTCCTTTCTCTCTCCTCTCTCTCTCTGTCTCTCATGAATAAATAAATAAAATGTTAAAAAAAAAAAGAAAATATAAGTTGAGTAAGTATACATAAGTACTAATATTGACAGTTTGTAACATACTGTTGTAAAGATAAACAAAATTCCCAGAAAATAGCTCTGGAAACAAAAAATGGAAAGACTATAGACTGTGGAGTCATATAGACCGAGATTTGTTTGTTTGTTTGTTTGTTTTTGAAGATTTTATTTATTTATTCATGATATATATAGAGAGAGGCAGAGAAACAGGCAGAGAGAGAAGCAGGCTCCATGCCGAGAGCCCGATGCGGGACTCGATCTGGGGCCTCCAGGATCGCGCCCCAGCCCAAACGCATGCGCTAAACCACTGAACCACCCAGGGATCCCCTAGACCAAGATTAGAAACCCAGTTCTACTACTTAACCAAATATGCTCCTTCAGTTTATAAAGTCTGTATAAGTTTCACCTTCCTCATGTGTTATATACATACATAAAGGCTTGTCATAGGGATCCCTGGGTGGCGCAGCGGTTTGGCGCCTGCCTTTGGCCCAGGGCTCTATCCTGGAAACCCGGGATCGAATCCCACATCAGGCTCCCGGTGCATGGAGCCTGCTTCTCCCTCTGCCTATGTCTCTGCCTCTCTCTCTGTGACTATTATAAATAAATAAAAATTTAAAAAAAGGCTTGTCATACCTCTCATTAGCATTGTTATAAGGAAAGTGTGTGTGTGTGTGTGAATGTTCTTTTTATTTTTCTTTTTTTTAAGATTTTATTTATTCATGAGCGACACAGAGAGAGTGAGAGGCAGAGGCACAGGCAGAGGGAGAAGCAGGCTCCATGCAGGGAACCTGATGTGGGACTTGATAATCATGCCCTGAGCCAAAGGCAGGTGCTAAACCACTGAGCCACCCAGGGATCCCCTAATGTTCTTTTTCTTGCTTGGGAGTCTGGAGCCTTTATCTGAGGATGGTCTACAGTTCAGATCCATCTGATTGAAGACTATCTCTTTTTCCCCAGATTGGCTGGGTACTTCCATAGATAGAAACCTTCTGGATGCTCTAATACTGAACTCTACCAGGATTGGCCATGGATTTGCTTTGACCAAACACCCAGCAGTCTGGGCTGACTCCCGGAAGAAGAACATTCCCATAGAAGTCTGTCCCATCTCCAATCAGGTAAGCGTGATCCATGTGACCAACCCAGTACAATCTTTCCCTCCAGGGGATCCCTGGGAGGCTCAGCGGTTGAGCATCTGCCTTCAACCCAGGGCGTCACCCTGGAGTCCTGGGATCAAGTCCCACATCGGGCTTCCTGCATGGAGCCTGCTTCTCCCTCTGCCTGAGTCTCTGCCTCTCTCTGTGTGTCTCTCATGAATAAATAAGATCTTAAAAAAAGAGAGAGAGAACAATCTTTCCCTCCAGTCTCAATCTCTGTTCTGTTTCCCATACTTTTTCCTGTATAATTTCTTGCTCCTTAACTCACTTGTTTTCTATATTCTTCCACTGTCTCACTCTTGTTAGTAAGTTATTTAAGAATGGCCCTTTGCCTAACCCATTCATGACATTGAGGCAGGAATGAGGGTCCCAATGGGGTGGAATTTTGGGCAAAGCCATAGACAAAGCTAAAGGAACAGTGAGAAGGCCAGTGAAGTGGGAGGGGCCATAGGATACCGCTCCTTCCACAGTTGCTTGGGGTTCTTTGTGCACCAGCCTCTCTTGTTGTGTTTAGGAGAGCTTCTCTGAGCCAGACCAAGAAGAGACCAAATGTTTGTGGTGGTGAAGAAACTTGGAAGAGCATGAGGACTGGCTCTATTCTTTGTGTTGTACCCAGAAGTTATTCCAATGTTCAGTGGTGATAAGGATAAGGAGCTGGTTATGCTACATGGTCTTACCTCACATGACAACTCTTTTTATTGGTCAAAGTTTGTCTTCCTCATTTGCCTATTATTGGGCAGGTTCTGAAACTGGTGTCTGACTTGCGAAATCACCCTGCTGCTGTCCTGATGGCCACTGGGTATCCCATGGTGATCAGCTCTGATGACCCAGCTATTTTTGGTGCCAAAGGCTTATCCTATGATTTCTATGAGGCCTTCATGGGCATTGGGGGAATGGAGGCTGATCTGAGGACACTCAAACAGCTGGCCATGAACTCCATCAAGTGAGTATCCTGTGTACTTCCCAGATCTCCACTCCCTTTTCCACTCTACAATTTGCATTTATCTCTCTTAGAGTTTTAGGGTAGAAGCCTGGAAGATTTCTGTGGGTTTTCTTTACATCCTCTCTCTTTCATTATTGTTCTTGGGCTGAGGAAAAATATGCTCTGCAAGCATCTGAGATCCCCTCACTGTTCCCTAACCCTTTCTCCTGGGGCTGACCTAGGTGCCTTTTCTCCTACAGGTTCAGCACCTTGTTGGATATTGATAAAAAGGCTGCCATGAAAACCTGGGAGGAGAGATGGGATAAGTTTGTAGCCGACCTGGCCAGGTGGCCAAAGTGAGAAGATAGCCATTTATTACCGTATTCCTCTGCTTCCCTCTGCAAGCTGTTTTCACCTTCGGTCAGTCAGTCTTGAACCCACTCCAGTATGGTTTCTATCTCCATTTCTTTATCAAAACTGCCTCATGAAGGTCATGGCCTCCACATTGCTTGACTCTCAGAAACACAAACAGTCTACCAAACTCCTCTTTTTGAAATATTATTTTCTCTCAACCTCAGGCCATCAATTTTCTTGGTTTCCTCCTTTCTCTCTGGCCATTCCTTCCAGGGTCCCTTTTCCAGAGGGTCTTCTCTATCAGATCTCTGTGTTGGAATTCTTCAGGGCTCAGTTTTGCTGCTTTTTGCTTTTCTGTTCACATCTCTGCTTCTCTCCTCTACTTTTCTCTCTATTCAATAGTCTTTTTCTAGGTAGTCTCATCCATTCCTTTGCTTTTAAATATCATTTATTTGCTGATGATCCCCAGTTTATTCACTTGGATGGTTCACAGGAATCTCAGAAACCTATGTGCAATTCTGAACTTTCAATCTCTTTCCTTTCAATCTTTTCCTGGTCTTTCTCATCTTGGTAAATGGCACTTCCATCCCATCCCACCGAGTAGAATTTCTCAGCAAAATTCTTGATACTGCTTTCTTCCCTGTTCCCTACATCAAAATGTACCTTGAATTCTGCACACCTCTCTATCTGTATTGCTGTTGGCTGAGTTCAAGCCGCTATCACTTCTTTGTCTAAGTTATAATAGCCTCTTAGTTGATCTCTCCTTTCTTCTCTTTGCCTACTTCATTACATTTTTCACAGAGCAATGACTTTTTAAAAATTAATTCATTTTACTCCATTGTTTACTACTCAATGCACTTAGAAAAGCTCAAATGTTTCAACAGGGCATATAGCATCCTCTGTAACCTGGATTCCTTCCAGCAGCATCCCACCCTAGGCTCCCCTAGAGCACCAGATTCTGGCCACATTGGTCCTTTGTCCCTCAAATATCTCAAACTCTATGCTGCATCAGAGTCTTTTCTCATTCTCATTGCCTGGGAGCGTCTGTCTTTCCACTTTTGTCTAACTGACTCCTGTTCACCCTTCAGGCTTCACTTTTAATGTCCCTGTGTCAGAAAAGTTTCCTAGACCCCTAACCTGTTAATATCTCTCATGGCACCTTGCTTTTTTTCTTCAAGGAAGGAAATACCATAATAATATGGTATTATATTACCATAATTTGTAATTACGTATTTATTTCTGTGTTTATAGTCTTCACTTCCACCAGACTGTAAGCTCCCTGTGGGCAAGTACTGATGATTGTGAACCCAGAGCCTTGCTCCATGCCCCAAACCTAGTCAGTACTCAATAAAGGATATGTTGAACGAATGGCTATAACCTGTATGTTTTGAGCTGGTTGCTGATGCAGGAGAGAACAGAGCAGAGTCTCCCCCAAAGAAAAGACCTCCCGTGATCAAATTCTGGCTCCTGACCTGGTTTTCAGGAGAAGTAAGGCAAGAAGCCAGCCCTGTCTTCACTTGACTAAAGGAAGTGTAGGAGGATCAAAGAATTCGTTAGAACTCCTCTGAGGATTCAAGTGTCTGCTCATTCATCACCCATCACCTGCACCTGAGCTCAAAGGCCATAGCCAACCCTCTCTCCATTAGTAGTTTATCACTATTTGGTTCATGACACTGGAAAAACTCTTGGTGATTAGAGGTCCTCAACCACAGGCTGGTACCCAGATGGAACAAGATGACCTTTCAGCTCCTGTCCAATTCTGACAGTCTTTGATTTATTGCCTCAACCAACCCCAGTAGATAGTATATAGGTCCCAACTCTGCCAACTTATGTTTAATAAATGGTGAAAATGGAACTGAGCAGAATGGACTTCTGTAGCAAGTTGTCATGATTATAGGCATCTTCCAGGAGTGTAAGGGCTCTGGCCTGGACTTTGTGTGATCTCTGATTTGGCAAATTAAACCAGCTGCTAGTCTTGTCTGCATGCCTTGTTCATAGGCTGAGTCCTAGCAGAGAACTAGAAACATCAACAGAATCAGATGCTAAGATATGACTATCTGGGAAACAGGCTGTAGCCATCTTGGAACTAAGTAATATTTCTGCCAGGAGTGGAGTCGTTAAAACTGATTTCACTTATTTCTCCTGTAGGACTTCCCGAAGGTACCCTGACATATGTTTTTTTGGAAAAACTTATGTGTTAATTGAATTTTTATAAATGAAATCATGCTGCACCTGGGGGCTTGCTATTTATTTCAAGGAAATCTGAAGCAAAGCCTTCTGTAAAACATTTTTGTAATTCGAATTGTGTAGTCTATATTTATTTCTTGGAGTAAGATTAAATGCTTTTTCCCTCTTTGTCAGGTAAATTGTCTGATCTGGAAAAACCTAATAGCCTGAGACACCAAGAGTCCTTGACTTGCCAGTCTTATTTTACAAGTCCCCATTATTTGGCCCATGATGAATTCCCTGGTCCAGCCCCCTCCTTCTGGATCCTGGAGCTTTTTTTTTTTTTTTTTTTTTTGGATCCTGGAGCTTTTTGTCAGCTGGCACAGCTCCCAGGGAAGGGCAGGGAGACTTCTCAAAATTCAAACCAACGGAATGTTGTTGGAGATGCAAATCATCCTGTTTCTCAGCAGGTGAGAATTTGGGATCCAGCCTTAGGAAAAACCATGGAACATTTTTCTTATGATCTGAAATAATGTGAAACCTTCAGAAAAGTTGCAAGACTAGTACAAAGTACTCTAATGTTAGACTCTTTGTCTAGGTTCTCCAATTATTGACATTTTATGACTTGCAGTATCATCCTTTGTATATGTATCTGCATCTTTCTTTTTTTTAAGATTTTATTTATTTATTCATAGAGACAGAGAGAGAGAGAGGCAGAGACACAGGCAGAGGGAGAAGCAGGCTCCATGCAGGGAGCCTGATGTGGGACTCGATCCGAGTCTCCAGGATCACGCTGCAGGTGGTGCTAAACCCGGGCTGCCCTCTGTATCTCTTTCAATGTCTGCATGATAGATCCTATTTTTTTTTTTAACCATTCAAGACTTAAGATGCAGCCATTATGCCCCATTACTCCTAAATGCTCTAGTATACATTTACTAAAGACAGTGCTATTCTTCTGTGTAACCATCCAAATCAGGAAATTAACATTGATAAAACATCTGGCCCTGGCCCTTCCAGGCATATTTCTTTTCTGGCCCCAGAACCTAACCCAGATCACATGTTATATTTAGTTACACTCTCTGTTGCTTCTTTTACTCCGGAACAGTTCCCAGGCTTTCCTTGTCTTTTGTGACCCTGACATTTTTGAAGAGTCCAGACCAGTTATTTGGAAGAATATCCCTCATTTCAGGTCCATGTACTGTTGCCTTGTGAAGAGATTCCAGGTTATACATTTTCAGGGGAATGCCTCAGGAGTGATGCTTTGTCCTTCCCAGTGCCTCACATCAGGAGCCACATGGCTCAGGGCCTGGTGAAGGCAGCCTGCACCAGCAAACAACAAACAATTGTAAAAATTTCAGCCTGCTGTTAAACCAATGGTGGTTTGAAACTGGTCTTTGTGGGAACTTTTTTCTAAATTTTTTTTTTTAGGGACGCCTGGGTGGCTCAGCGCTTGGGCGTCTGCCTTTGGCCCGGGGCTTGATCCTGGAGACCCAGGATCAAGTCCCGCATCGGGCTCTCTGCATGGAGCCTGCTTCTCCCTCTGCCTGTGTCTCTGCCTGCCTCTCTCTGTGTCTCTCATAAATAAAATCTTAAAAAAAAAATTTTTTTTTTTAGTGTAAGCTCTCGGTTCCAAGTGGCACTCAAACTCACAACCCTGAGATCAAGAATTGCATGCTCTACCAACTGCACTAGCTAGGCAGCTGAGACATCATGGGAGTTTTTACACTACAGAAATCAGCAAATATCACAAATTTGTAGCACCCCCCCCACCTGCACTGTTCCAGCCAGTTTTTTTTTTTTAAGATTTTATTTATTTATTCATGAGACACAGAGAGAGGAGAGAGAGAGAGAGAGAGGCAGAGACACAGGCAGAGGGAGAAAGAGGCTCCATGCTGGGAGCCTGATGTGGGACTCCATCCTGAAACTCCAGGATCACGCCCTGGGCCGGAGGCAGGCACCAAACCGCTGAGTCACTAGGGCTGCCCCCAGCCAGTTGTTAAACATTTATCAGCATACCAATGTATCTGCAATGTCAATCTGACCCATTATGATGATGTTCACGTTAATGACTTTGTCGAGGAAATGTCTGCCAGGATTTGGAACTGTAAAATTTTCCACTTTGTGACTATAAATAAATATTTAATGAGGAAACACTTTATGTAAAAATCTTATTCCTCATCAAATCTTTAACCCATTAGTTTTTGTAGCCACTGAAGATTATTGCTTGAATCTACTATTATTATAATCATTATTGTTCTATTTATTTACTTGAGAGAGAGAAGGAAGCAAGGGAGAGCAAGAGCCAGGGAGAGGGAGAAGCAAGCTCCCTGCTCACTGAACAGGGAGCCCATGGAGGGCTCGATCTTAGGACCCTGGATCATGACCCCTGCTGAGGGCAGATGCTTGACCAACTGAGCCACCTAGGTACCATCAATCATTACTATTCTAGTTACTTATTGATGTGTAACAAATTATCCTGAAACTTAATGGTTTAAGAAATAACATAATTTTATTGTGTCCCATAGGTTTTGTAGGCCAGGGATTTGGGAAGGGATCAGGTAGGCAATTCTAGTTTGGTCTCTCTCTTGAGGTTACGGTTAAAATGGTGGTGGAGCTGGAGCAGTCAGGAGCTGGCCAGGTATCTCCTTGTCTCTATACAATCTCAGGGCTCAGCGTAGGTCCTCACAATGGCCAGTGTGAACTTCCTTGCAATATGGTGGCCAAAGTAAGTGTTCAGGTAATAAAGCAGAAATGCTGTTGTCTTTTCTAATTTGATCTTGGAAGTCACATGGTATCACTTCTGCCAACCTCAGTTGGTCATCTCTCTGTTCTAAGCCCTCCCACTTTCAAGAGAAGGGGAGAGAGACCCCACTTTTCAATGGAAAACTCAAAGTCACATGTAAGAAGAACATGTAGGATTAGAGATCCTGGTAAAAAATATTTTAGGGGGGTGCCTCGGTGGCTCAGCCGCTTAAGCATCAGCCTTTGGCTCAGGTCATGATCTCAGGGTCCTGGGATCAAGTACTGTGTGGAGCTCCCTTCTCAGTGGGAAGCCTGCTTCTTCCTCTCCATCAGACTGCTGCTCCCCCTGCTTGTGCTCACTCTCTCTGTCAAATAAATAGAATCTTAAGGGAAAAAAAAGAAACAAAAAAGAAAACAAAAACATCTAAAAAAAACATTTTAGAAGATAAAATCACCGGGACGCCTGGGTGGCTCAACAGTTAAGCACCTGCCTTTGGCTCAAGGGGTGATCCTGGAGACCCGGGATCGAGTCCCACATCAGATTCCCTGCATGGAGCCTGCTTCTCCCTCTGCCTTGTGTCTCTGTCTCTCTCTCTCTCTCTCTCTGGGTCTCTATGAATAAATAAATAAATAAAATATTAAAAAAAAAAGATAGGATGCTGCCTGATTCTGTGAATCACTGAATAAAGCCAATTAGATATTTTCATAGCCACTCAACTGAATTTTTGTTTGTTACTGGCATATAATAAGACACACAAAAAAATATTTATACATATACATGTGTATTTATTTCCAAATTTATCTGTGGGTATTACTCTTTTTTTTTTAAAAAAAAGATTTATTTATTTATTTATTCAGAGAGAGCAAGAGAGAGGTAGAGACACAGGCAGAGGGTGAAGCAGGCTCCACGCAGGAAGCCCGACGTGGGACTCAATCCCGGATCTCCAGGATCACACCCCAGGCTGCAGGCGGCGCTAAACTGCTGCGCCACCAGGGCTGCCCTATGGGTATTACTCTTAATTGCAGGGTCGGGAATTCAAGCCCCATGTTGGGCCTAGAGTTTACTTCAAAAAAGCAAGCAAACAAACATGAGTTTGCACTCATATCTCCAATTCTGTTCAATACCATGGATTTATTCCAGCCTCAGGCCTTGTCATGTCTAACCCTGTTATTATTCATGAAGTGAGAAACCTGGCCCCCACCATTCTCCAGGTATCTCCATAGTTACTGATTCCCTGTGTGTGTAGTCCATCTTCACCCCCACCCCCACCTCAGCTGGTCCTGCAGGTCCCTCTGGTCCCAGAGGCCTCAAGGGAAGGAAGGGGAACCAACAAACAAGAGGGAAGGAAAGAACAGAAAAAGATTTGGGGGCGGCGCCAGAAGGAGTTGTGGCGGTAGCAGCTGGAAAGGACCATGGCCAACAGTGAACAGCTTCATTGCCATCAAGCCTGATGGAGTCTAGC